TTATGTGGATTTTGACATATTCACATATGGCACGTATGACGCTTCACTGTCATGTGTGTCTCATTTTTCCGCATCTATTGAAGGAAATTGGGTGGAGTGGCGCTGGTGGAACTGCAAAGGTTGGTTTCTTAGTTGGAATCTTACCTATATTTGTTACTCTTGAGTAGTAGAGTAGTACTGTGGGGCTTGACCGGGTAAATTACAAGCTAAAACTTCCAACCGACTTCAGGTCCTGAAGACGACGAGTTGTTCGAAACGTCGACCGAATAAATAGTTCCATCGTAACAACCTGTATGGCAGAAGAAAAACAAGCAATATTCTCAACATGCCCAGGTTTCAAGAAGACCGAACATGGGATCTTCAAAAACTTGTAGAGATCCCAAAATAGCCCTAATCAGCTATAAACACGATCTGACACCAGCATGTTCAAGTCGGCTTACTATGGATTCTCGACTGACCATCCATCACATTTGCCGAAGATGAGGAGTGGGTACGCTAACAAATAAACAAGCGGCGATAGTCCAGCTCAAACGCTTTGGGAGTTCTTACTGCTAGAAGTTCCAACCTCGTCCAACAGGCCCTTCTCGAGTTTTGGAACGTCTTGCTAAGGAAATCCAGGAAAATTTCGTAACTCTCGGACTTTCCGTAACCACCTTATAGCCCTGACCTCGTGCCAAAGAATGCCCACCTGCTTTCCTCTCCAGACCACCTCCTAGAGAACAAATCTCATCCTAACCATTATGGCGTCAGAGTCTATATCTGATCTTTGAACTTCTATGATAGAGGCATCGAACAGCTTCTAGTGCGTTGGCAATAGGTTGTAGATATTGATGTGTATTATGCTGGATGAATGGAACAAAAAGATAATAAAAATATTAAATTCAAAATTCAGCCAGTTTGTTGCAAGACTTATGGAACAACCTAATAATTGACCTTGTATCTGGAGCTCCAAAAATGTTAAATGGGGGCTCGCTGGAGCACGTGCAACGCTCCAATCAGGCTGATCACAGAAGACAGAACGCAGCTCTCAAGCAAAGCTTTTTCATGCTATAGAGTCCAGGATTGGGGCAAACATTGTTCACTAAGTAGCTATAAAAGGCCATAGCCTACTTCTGAGCTAAATGTCCATCTCAGAGAACGAATAACATGCTTTGATTGTGAATGGCCCAGGAATAGGAATCATTTCAAAGTTTCTCACCTGTGCGTAGAGGATAATATTACTTTTGAACAATCGCGCTTCTCCTGTTCCTTTCGATGAATTCGATAACATCTGAAATTGTTCAAGCCAACACAAGTAGCTGAATGTACTGGATGTGCGGAGTGTGAGGTTATACATTGAAAAGGTTTTACCTTGGAAATGAAGAAGAAGGACATGGTATTAGTAACGATAACAATACTCAGAATTACAGTTTCTTGAATAAAGTCCACATAAAGGGAAAGAATATCTCCGCATTCTGACTCGGCATATACGAAAACTAACGAGTGAGTATCAAGCAGGAACTCACATCCATCTAAAAACAGTTACTTGATTCTGAATATGTGAAATTTTTATTGGAATTCTGAAACCAACGGATATCCTAAAATTTTGACCATTTGTTACTGCGATTTGAGCCGCATTAGAGTAGATTACGGTGCTGGTGAAGTAATGTAACAGTGCGCAATAGTGATGTCACAAATGCTCGCAGTTTCGTTGAGTTGTAGCTTGCTTACAGCGAAGATGAGCATCGCGCCGTCACCGGCGACATAACTCACACTTCAAGCGTTTCGAGAGGCAACTGTTTACCAGCCTTCATCAGGCTGTAAGTTGAACTGCTATCCATCTCTCTGGTTTGCGTAATTACACTGGCAATGAGTCCCCGATAGCAGTTTCCATGTTTTGAAACCTCGGCCGATCATTTATTATTCGCTATTCTTCTTCTCAAATTGGCGTTCTAGCTGTCCTATCCCGCGTTGACTTAATGTTCAGACCTTTTTAAGATCCGAGGAATCCCGAAGATCCTGATCACATGGATTTAGGAGTGACTTAGCATGAATAAGATAAGTGATCTGTCATTTACCGCTTCCATGAAAGATAATTCACTCCAATGCTCATCAAGGGCAATCGGAAGGTGGCGCTTTTCTAGTATACCTATGTCTAGTTTTGCGGCGGATGATGTTGCTTCATGATATTGCCCCTATCTACCGCAATGTCGCTGCATGACCGTCATCAGTGCGTCAGGGTGTGCGTTAAGAAGCATGAAAGAAAGATTAAAAGATATTTGTGCCAGCGAATTTACATGTTGCAGCGAATAACATGAGAAAATAAATTACTCAAACAATACCCCAAAAATGGACCGTCGCTTGCCCAATAGAGATCAGCCAAAAAGCCATCAGCATCTGTGTGGTTCGTCGCGTCGAGAACGTAAAACTGAAGAAATGAAAAGTGAACAGCATAAATTTAGAAGCTTTTGAATACCCTTACTATTGAAAAGTTCCTGCGGGACTCCAATCAAGTGTTACCTTGCCGTCTTTCGCGTATTAAAGAAACGAAATTCACTCAGCCCTTATAACTGACAAATTTTTCACTATCCAAAAGAAAGCGGCTTTAGCAAATTTTCTCCGCACGGTAGTCCGAAGCAGGGTCAACCCTATCGTTGTTACTCTTCGGAAATTTTTTACGACCCCCCCCTTCATGGGTGATTTGATACGACCCCCCCCCTTGTATGTAACACTTGTGTAGAGACAGTTTACCATCAATATTTATTTCTACGTAAGTCATCAAAGATGAAACTTTAGCAAAATCCACGACAGATATTCATCGCTGCTTCCGAACACGAAAAAAATGAGATGCAATTCAAAGGTATCCGTGTACTCCGAAGGGTCCCCCCCCTCAACCCACTCAGCACCGGCTTACCTAACTGGGTGTGATTCACTAGGACAGAAAGCGTACTTTTTCGCGTTGCGCAGCGCGAAACATTTTTCGCTGCGAAAACCAGGTCCACTGCTGATCATCAGTGGACACGAGATTCTTACTGTGAGAATGATTAGCGTGCGAAACGCGAAAAAGTACGCTTTCTGTCCTAGTGAATACACCTAGCGAATACTAGCGAAGTTCTCAATAAAAATATCACGGACAAGTCTTCAAATATCACGGACTGACAAGTCTTCACATACATTGATTTCTGGAAAAATGAATCTCTGAAATCAAAACTGACGACGATTCAGATTGTTTTCTGAGCAAGCACAAAAATTTTGTAGTTTTGAATGAACCTCGGGGGTTCTAGAATATACTTCAAAGTAAACTCGGTCAAGAAAAACTCGGCTTCTTGAATTTATGTAGCAACAAGTAAACTAACCAAGGTAACGTAAGTGAAAATTGGCGTTATACACCAATTCCCGAATGCAACCAGTAAATTTCTTGCCCTTCAGTCAGGCAATGGTTCGGTTTTCTCAAATAGCATAAAACTGATAAAACTTGAAAAAGCTTTCTACAAGAAATGCGAAGCCGCGAGAATTTCCTCCACAACTATTAGAATTTAGTGTCTATGTATTGCGAGGAGCGGGTGCGGGAGGGAGGGGAACGGGGAAGAGCTAGTGCTGCCTACAGTTATTCCCCTATTTTCACAAGTACAAAAAATCTAGATGAACAGCGAGATGAATTAGAAAAACGATAAAGCGAAATACGCTCCCGAGAATCAACCGAAAATCAATACAAAAAAGACGAAGTGAATGATGTGCTGGTTG